AGATATTTTTCAAATAGAAAGGGGAACAAGAGGTGGAGGGAGGGGAAAGAAGGAAGGGAAAAGGGATTAAGAAAAAGAGGGAAAGCTGGGCGTGGTGGCGCACACCTATAGTGCCAGCATTTGGGGGGCTGAGGCAGGAGGACTGCTGTGAGGTCAAGGCCAGCCTGGGCTGCATAGTGAGTTCAAGGTCAGCCTAAAATACATAGCAAGACCCTGTCAGCTGGAGAGAGAGAGAGAGAGAGAGAGAGAGAGAGAGAGAGAGAGACAGAGAGAGAGAGAGAGAGAGAGAGAGAGAGAGACAGAGAGAGAGAGAGAGAGAGAGAGAGAGAGAGAGAGAGAAAGAGAGAGGGAGAGAACAAGAGTTGGAGGGAGCAGGGAGGGATGGAATGGGATGAAAAAAGAATTTCAGTATGTTGTATATATGTACCAACACCCTATGAAAAATGTAATCATGTAGTGCAAAAATGTACTAATAAAAATAAAATTTAAAAGAAGCCTTTTGTGTTAAGACACTGAGTAGTCAGTCTAGCCCAACTAACACTATGAGGGTATATCTGTGAGATATGCTTTTAGATGTACAATCATTGGGTCATTTAAAATTTAGATGTTGCCAATGTGCCTTGTAAACTGTTGCAACAACTCATATTCCTATCAAGAGTTCATGAGATTGTCTAGTTTCTCATCGATTATATTATCCAACTTTTAGATCCATAGTGATCTGAAAGTAAAAAAATCTCCCTTGTGTTTAGCATACATTTCTTTAATTAAAGCATCTTTTCAAATATTTATACATTATTTCAATCTCTTTTTTCTGTGATCTGCCAGAAATTTGTCTATATTTTAGATTTTTATTCCTTGTTTTAATTTGTAATAGAGTTTATACAGGAAAGAAATTAGCGTTTAGTTTGGCAAATATGTTATGAATTGTTAGTTGTCATACAGATGACTCTATTTTTTATGTAGCGAAATCTCTCCTTTTCTTTAGGTATTCTGAGTTGTGCTTTCCTAATATACAAATACCCAGTTCTACTTTCTTCTGATACATTCATTTGCTTTGTTTTTATCTTCAAATATTTCATCCACATCAATTTATTTTGAAGTAAGGAATAAGGTCAGAATCCAGTTTTGCCTCCCCAATGTCTCATTGCCTCACACATAATAATAATCCAGATTTTCCTCAATAAGAAAGAAATAATACATACTTATTATGTAGTAAATTTTTCTGTATATTTAGGTTTATTTTGGAACTCTTTTGCCTCTACTGTGCAGCAGTACAGTATCCTTTTAATTACTTTTGTATTATGACATTTTAATAAATATAAAGGGATCATCTTTATTAGACTTCTTTATCAGCTCTCCCCTGACTTCCTTCCTATAATAATTTGCTCAGGTGATATTTAGATTAACTTAGTGAAATTACTGAAAACACTCTGTTGGTGCATTTATTTTGGAATCATAGTCAGTTTATAGACAACTGATGTCATAATTGAATCTTTATATTGTTGATTCTTAGTCAATCCAGAAAAAGATGTGTTTTATATTTATTTCTAACGTCCTTTATTATCTAATGTAGAACCCATGTTCTGTGATTATAATTCTCTTGGATATTGTATTAGTCCCTATCACTGCTGAAACAAATGACTCCAAACTTGGTGACAAACAATTCAAAATTATTATCTTAGAGTTTGGAAGACAGAAATCTAAAATGCATCTCAATGGGGTGAAACCAAGGTGTCAGCAGGGCTATGTTCCTTTTGGGATATTCTATGAGAGAATCTGTTCCTTTGACTTTTCCAGCTTTTGGAGGCCACCCTCATTCCTTGGCTTCTGGCCCCCTCTTCCATCTTCAAAGCCAATAACACCACATCTTTCTGTCCATACTTCCATAACCACATCCTTCTTGATTACAACTGGGAAAATTTCTCCACTTTTAACTAAGTACATGCACAATTAGCTTGGACCCTGTCAGACAATTCATCCCATTTGCAAAGTTCCTTTTGGTGAGGTAGGTAACACACTTACAGTCTCCAGGGATAGGTTGTGCTATCTTTTTGGGGCCATGATTCTGAAGATCACAGATACACTCAATTGTGGTGTCCCTCTCTACTTTCACTAAACTCAACCAGAAAACTCTAATCCTAATTAGAGGGCATTTGGATTAACGAGAGGTAAGGAATTTAAAGCACAAAAATGATGTGTTCTGTTTTAATAGTGCTGAGCTGCCAGAATGTTTATTTGGCATCTAAAATTTCCAGCTACTAATGTCAAATGGACATTTGGTTGCCTGCAATCCTGCAATATTGTTGGTGCATTAGATCCCCTCACTTCTGTTCCTCCTCTCTTCAGTACCTCTTTCGCATCCTCTCTCCTGCTGGATGAAGTTGTTACCTATTTCACTGGAAGCAGAGAATCGATCTGCAGTGAAATTCCACATGATCTCCCACCATCTTTTAACTCACTTGCATCTGTGTTCATATAACCCACGTCCACTTATAGTTATAGCTCCAGCAAAGGTCAAGCCCTTCTCTTGTGCCGTGGATCCCCCTGTGGTCCACCCTAGGAAATCATCCCAGCAACGCCCTGCCATCTCCTCAGTTTTTTCTTCTTTCTACTCAATCCTGGAAGCTCATGACTATGTTATATAGTAATATCATTCATCTGAGCCCCAGAAACACCAGTCTCACAGAAGTAGATGGTTTCCTAACTAGTTATCCATAAGTAAGTCCATGTAAGCATCGTGAAGGGATGAGCTTGACTATATTTCCCTTTTCATTATTTTCACTGTCTTTCAAGGTGTGGTATTCTTTAGGTTCTAGGCTCTGGTTGCTGTATTTATATCCCTGAATCTGATACAGTTTTAGAACCTCCACTTGGGGGTTTGCATGGGAACCAAGTTGCCACATTCAGACTGAAGCTGCTGTCACAGCACTTAGCACCAGCCACACTTTCAAAGGGTCACAGTAACTGCATGTCTATAACCCTCTGTGCAAAACAATAGCTTTAGAAACTCTTGGGTGAAGTCCGATTTTGCCACCCAGCCATGCAATTCCTTCTCCCCTTTGTAAGTGAGAAAATTTGCCTTGTAAATCATTAATCTCCATTTCTATAGAAAGTATGCCAATATTCTCTGGGCCCTGACAATATCTTCAAACATCTCAATAGCATAAATTTTTCCTTAAAGGTGTGAGGAACCACACAATCACAGAAGTAAGCGATGGGGAGGGGACACTTCAGCAGACAAGTTTTATAAAATTACCTGTTTAGTAAAGGTTATTTTACGGACCCCTTAAAAGTAAGGACAAAGAGAAACACCATATTAACTGGATTTAATAGCAAAGCTACAAAGTTCCCTGATGGCTTATCTGATAGAGATGCACTCTAAGTTTCAAAACTTTTCAAAGTCACCATTCCCTTCATTATAAATTGAATTTCCACCTTTCTTTTTCTCCTTTTGTTTTGTAGTACTGGGGATTGAACTACATCCCCATCATTTATTTGATTTTGAGACAGTGTCTCACTAAATTGCCTGGACTGCCCTTGAACTTGTCATCCTACTGCCTCAGCCTCTGAGGTAACTGGCAATATACTGTGCACCACCATGCCCTGCTAATATGAATAATATTTTATGAATGTGAAGAACGTCTATACTCATGATGAAAGGGACAAGGACTGGCTGGATGGGGTGGGTGTGTGCGTGTGCATCACCACCTTGTGAGCTAAGTGGGAGGGGAAGGCAGGCCTTATCTCCATCCTCCAATAAACCCAAGCCAGATAAGGTAGGAGGGTCTGTCCTTGAAAGAAAGAGCAACCTGGCCTGACAGTTTTTACAACTGCCTTAGTGACTCTCTCCTCACCTGTGCCGAGAGGACCTCTCTGTGGGAGATTAGTGTGCAAAGTCATAACAGAGGTGGGGATTTCCTGTCTGGAGGAGCTGGCTGTGGTTGTGGTAGAGACAGCGGGTGACAAGAAAGCCAGAGGAGCAAGGCGCCTCTTAGTGACATGCATGCTTTCCCACTGGACTCCAGTAGCACCCTTCCCCCGAGCTGCAACAACCAAATGTGTGGTCAGAAATCGGCAGTTGTCTCCTGTGGGAAGGAGATGAAATCATCACAGTTGAAAACCGCGTATCTCTGCATGTATGTGTCTCTGTGTGTGCATGTAGACATATGTGTGTCTGTCCACATATGTGTCTATGATTACTTGATGAGAAAGCAAATACTCACGAAGCATCTAGCTTTTCACAGCTTGGTAGCCTTCTCCTCTCCTTTGGGTTTCAAGCATACTGGCCAGTGTTACTTTTTATGGGTCAATATTTGTACAACATCAGTTTTTCATTCTGCCTCAAATTAGCTATGTACTAAAACAAGTTTTAAAAGTATCTTCATAAATGCTAGTAAACATTTAGAGACAGACTCTCCTGCATTGAAAAAATCAAAGTGCAGGCATCTCATCTTTACTGGGATCAGGAGCTGTGTGAAAAGATCAGCCAGACAGCTGTGCCCGGGCTCCAGCATCAGAGTGGCGAAGCCCAACCTAGGCACACGGGGTAAAAGACAGGAGACAAAGGAGTTCATCTCCACAGAATCCCTGATGCTAAATTTTCTTACAGTGAAATGACAAGTACAGCACAGTGGAAGGCATCCTTTTTACATGCTGATTTTGTGATCAAGTTGAGACAGACCAAGGTTTTCTTCCGACCCTTTGGGTTGCCCTTCCTGAAAGTTCTGTCTCGCTGGTTTTGGTGAAGTGTGTGAGGACCACTGCTTTTCTGTGGACAGCCACAAACTGACTTTGCATTTCACCAAATGTGTTAGCTGACATGCAAGTTTTCCTGCTCGGACTTGTCTTTCAAAATGGACATGAATGGCAGCCAGCAGCCAAAGTTGGAGTTTCCTTCCTGTGTTAATGGTAGGTGTGAGAAGAGCTTGCAGCTTGCGGCTTTGGCAGAGCACGTGTTTGATTTGCAGTGTTCCCCGGCAGAAAGGCAGACAGGGCCTTACCTTTGGGAATGGTGATCTGACAGCTCAGGTCACAGTCCTGCTGCAACTGATAAAAAGCCACTTCCTGCAGTCGGGCCCGCTCCAGTTCTGAGAGACTCTGGATGGGGACTGACCTCAGCCGCACACTGCGGCCCGACATGCTGTTCCAGGTGAAATCACCCTGCAGGCCAAAGGAAAAACATCAGCCTTTACACAGTTCACCTACTTGTCCCAGGCTTTCACCCTCTCTCAGTCAGTAGCCAAGGCAGACACACTTCACCTTTGTATCCCATAGCTGGTGCTTGATTCCCCAAACCAAATCCTCTCAAATTGTCATGGATTTTCTCTGCCAGTCACAAAAATCAAAATCTAAAGAAGCTACTAGGTCATATGATCTCTGATGCATATATAGGCCAAAGGAAATGAAGTAGAAAGATGTTGAAAAATTCCTATGTGCTGCCTCCTTTTTATAGGAACTGTATGGGATGTTTAGTCTTTCTAGCTCAGTAACATGGGAAACTGTGCTAATTGGTGTCACATACAATAGGCGGAGACTGCATTTGAGAGCTTCCCATGTGCCAGCAATTGTGCCAGGAACTTCATAGTTAATCCAGCTAATGACCTGATGAAGTAGCCAGCATTTTACCCTATCTTATATAAAATTCAGTAGTATAATAACATCATTTAAAATAATATATTTATTAATTATATATACTAATGTAATTATAATACATACTAATGTATACTAACTATAATACATGTTAATATTATTTTTCCTTGTGTTCATACTGGATTGGTTCCAAAATTCCTGCAGCTGTAAACATAAAATGTTCAAATCTTTTATTTAAAATGACAGCATTTACACATCAGCCATGTACCTCTTTTTGTATACTTTGAATCATCCCTGATTACTTTTAATTCATTAAATAATATAATTGCTCTGTAAATAGTTGTTATACTATACCGCTTAGCAATAATGATGAGAAAAATTCTGCATATAGTTAGTACAGGTGTAATATGTTTTTTATTTGGGAAAATTTTGGATCCATGGTTAGTTGAATCTGTGGATATGTAACCCAACAATGTGTATAAAGAAGGCTGACTTTTACTTTAGCATGTAGTAAAACATATATTTATAATAATCAGAAAATACTGAACATCATAATAATGCATCATTACAAGAAGATAGATGATGAAACTGCGTCTTGGGAAGGTTAAGTCATTTTCCTCACATCATATGCCTCAAACTAAGAATCTATGGCACTAAATTCCAGGGTAAAATTTTAATCCTGAGTTTCTATTTAGAGCACTCTCAGGAGTTGTGTTAATTCCAATAAGTATTAGATCAGTAAGAATGTATATTTATAGAAACATTTGATGTTAAAATAGTCTACATCACAGAGTCAAAGCCAAGATTGCTACAAGTGTAAGAGTGTGCTTGTGTGCACTCACACCCAGCTCTTCTATGTCACCCCCCAGTACAAACGTGACAAAGTGATGGCTTAAGGAAGGGGCTCTTCACCACCCTCTGAAGTCCAGTGTCCTCTTACTGAAGTGAACTTCCTGCAAACCATGCCAAACAGCAAGAGCATCAAAGATTGAAGAGACAAAATTCTTCAGCAATCAATAAGAGTTTCTCAGAGGATAGAGAGGTACTGGCCCACAGAATCTCTTAAAACTTCACCATCTTGAAGAAGTCACTCACCTTAACGAACGGAGACAAAAAGACTGGCCCGGCCACTATTAAGATACTGCAGGTCCATACTGGTGGCAACTTCCTGCCTAGGATGTTCACTGGAAAGAGTAAAGGGCACTACACTAATTCGCTGACATTTTCTCCTCTTTATCTGGTTTTTCATTTATTTCGCAAAAAAAAATGGAGCTAGTATACTGTAGGAGGAACAGCAAATGAGTAAGGTAAGGGGGCTGGGGATTTAGCTCAGTGGCAAAAGCGCCTGCCTGGCAAGCGCAAGGTCGTGAGTTCGGTTCCCGGTACCAGAAAAAAACAAAAAAAAAAAAAAAAAAAAAAAAAAAAAAATGAGTAAGGTAAGGAAGAGGTGTAGTGTGTTAAATATGGATAACTGCTAGGGAGGAAAAACATCTCAGAGCAGGGCGAGTAGAGGAAAAGGATGTGCAGTTTTAGCTAGAGGGGCCAGGAAACACTGAGCAAGGACTAAGGGAAGTGAGGGCTTCTGTTGGTCTTGACATATTTGAGTTTCCATTCCCAGACACCGCTGTACTAATGGGTGCAGAGGGCGCAGGAAGATGGTGTGCGAGGGGGCACAGGGGAGCAGAAGGGGCATGGGAGAGAGGTGTGAGTGAGCAAATGTCGGCACAATGACTAGGGCACAGGTACACTTGGTGAACTAAAAATTCTCCCAAGGCATTGTATTTTTTTTTTCTTTTTTGATATAACCAGACTAAACTCACGTTAAAACAGCTGAGTTGGGAACTCAGGCCTTGTTTGTCATTCACATTCTCTAAGCTTAGGATACCACAAGTTATGTTATTGGTGAATTGTACTTTTTCTCCCAAACGAAAAGTCCCAGAGGAGTTTGTGGCTTTCAGATAAGAAATGTAGTGATCCAAAGGAGGCCGACCTGCTATTTGGAGTATCACGGTACAGTTATAAACATGAACTACAAAGGGCTTGATTATCAATAGCAGGGGTTGGCACTCCTTTTCTCTCAAGAGACAGACAGTAAATATTTTAGGCTGCGTAGACCATATGGTCTCTGCCAGGACTACTCAGCTCTGCCTTGGGGCACAAAAGTAGCCATAGGTGATTTATAAATGAATGAGTGTGGCACATTTCAACAAGCCTTAATTTTAAAAGCAGATGGCAGGCTGGATTTGGCTGATGGAGTTTGCCAGTCTCTGAGCTCTAGTTTACTACTGAAATATACCAGTTCCTAGAAGAAATATTTTGTTCTTATTTTCTATACCTTCTGGGGTAATTAATTCAGTTACTATGTAATGAGCACCTGTTACATGCTGAGCGCTGTATTAGGCTTGGGATTATTAAGATGACAAAACAGTTGGTGCCTTCGGAGTTAATCTTCAAGTAGGAAGAACACAAGCAATCAATAAAGTACACAGACTGTGATATTAGAAAAAATATCCAAAGCAATGGTTGCCCAGCAGACAGGCTTTGCCATCTGCCTGGAGATCAAGGAAGGCTTTAAAGGGAAAGTAGTGTTTTAAAGGAGACATGAAAGTTGACTAAAAGGGATGAAGGTTTGTCCACTAGAAACGCAACTTTGGGGAAAACAGGAGGGATTAAGGCATAAGAGTTAGAGAGAGCAGGTCAACGCAGGACCTCAGAAAGCCAGAAGCTGAGAAAGAGCAGGGAATGAAGGAAACCCAAGGTCAGCCAGGTCCTGTAGAGCCTCCTCTGCAGGCAGTGCGATTTGGTTTTCCTCCATTATCATTCATACACCCTGAGTGAGGGAGGGGTGTGACCAGATTTGCAGATGGCCCTGAGAACTGAGCTCAGGACCTCATGTATGCTAGGGAAATGCTGTACCACTCTACTCCTCTGCCCCCAAAGACCAGACTGAGCCTTAAAATAAGTTATCCATTTATAAAAAAGCACTCAGCAAAGAAAAATGCTAGACTGGAACACGAATTTCAGCACTGAGAAACAACCATGAACGTATCCTAAGCCAGCAGTGGTGAACCTATGGCACACATCTTACTTGTTTTTTTTTTAAGACAAAAGATGTCAGGTATGAGTTGCATTTTTCTGAACTAAAACTTCGGTATTCAGGTTTAATTGCAGTGTGGCACTTTGCAATAAGTGAGTGAGTTTCCTGCTGCAGTTTGGGCACTTGTCTCTAAAATGTCTCCATCACTGTCCTAGGCAGTGCTGATGGGTTTTTGTAGTCTTGGTGGGCATTTGTTTGTCACTTTGTGGTGACACTGGTCTTTAAATTCATAATTTACCTCTACTAGGTCTGATGAGTGGGCATGGGTGCCAGGGAGCAGCTCTTCCCTGGCTCACATCTTATCACTTTTATTTTCTACCCTTGTGTACTAGTTTGTTGGTTTGTGGAAATAGCTGTGTAAATTTGAATCAGCATCATGCCTAGTCCAGCATCTTTTCTTCTCTCTGTGTCTTTGACATGCTCTCTCTTTCACTACCTTAAGAAACAAGTTTGCAGTCATCTTTCCCATCTTTTGAGTATCATCATAGCAAAGTTTTTTAAGGACTGAAAATGGGCAATTTCAAATTTGGCTCAATTTTGTAAATGGAAGTAAAATTGAAACCGACCTAATATTTCCAAATAGACTAAAAACCTTAAAAATTGTAAAAATATTATTTTAATCAGGGTTACTACATGAGTGACAACATTAATAAAAGGTAGCACATGTGACAAAAAGGATATGTAGCACAGCTGTTCCAGGAGTTGGTAACACTGCTCCCAAGGTGCCATCAAGTGAAATCTAGAGATATTTCCACTCATCACAGCTGGAGGGGAGGGAAATGTGCTTGTGTTACTGGCCCCTAGAGGGTGGAGACTTGCAATTGTGAATATCATTCTATAAGACACGGGACAGCTCCCCACAGTAAAAATCTGGCTCAAAATATTAATAGTGCAGAGATTGAGAAACCTTAGTGTAGATAAATTAGGTTTGCTGATAGGCTCAAATTAAAGAGACTCCTCTTAAAAAGGTGGTGTCAGGAAGTATTAACAATTATTTGTACATTTTGTTGATCATCAAAGGCATGAACTATATGTTCTTATGCATATTATGCACTTTCTTCACATTACGCATATAAACAGTGCTCATTTTGAAAAGAGTTAAGAAACACAAACAGCACAAACCAGTCTAAAAGAAGCAAATACAAAAATCTGAGTAAAGCAGAATCTTGATTAACTACAGAACTCACCAAGTGTATTCACCAAATAGATTTCTTGCTCACCAGAAGTATATGTCTCCACATTTAGCAAAAAAGAAGCAAGACACAAACCAAAACCCCCAAAAACCTGACATCCACAGTTCATTTTTCTTTACAAATGAACTTGATTTTCCCATGCAATATAGTTGATTGAAACTGTTTTCTGATGTACTGGGGGACAATCTCTAATTGCAGTACCTCTTTAGCTTCACCCGACTATGAACTCCCCAGGACCTAGGGAAATAGCAATGGGTGACGTGTGCTGTTCAAAATGTAGT